CCCCCCCCCCCCCAACTTTTACAAGCTTCCTACGCCCCTGCGTCTTCATATTACTTCGGCATGCCTTACTCAATACTCACAATGCAAAACAACTTGTTTTACATGGCTTAGCCGTTTCCTAGCAGACAATTAAGAACACAACAAGCTTTATTTTGGATTCTGCTACATTTACAAGGTATATTGTTTTTCCGACCCAAGATGAAGTCCTTTAGTCTGTCCTGATTTATTACTGAGCGCATGACGATCTTAATTTCAACTTCGAGAAGCTGCGCTCAATTGAGGCCGATGTAATCTGCGCGGTTAGAATGAAATGATAGAATCTACTAATTGTTATAATTAGTGGAAACTGGAAAGGTTGTTTTCAAATTCCATGGCTAGACGTGCTGCAATTGTTTTAATTTCCAGCTTGTTCTCTCGGCAGTGATGTCTAACAGTCTAAACAAATGTCAGTTCAACACATAGAACATCTTTATCAGGCTGCATTGTGGAAGCATCTATTCTAGGAACTCAACGTCTCTTTGTTGTGGAAGCATCTTTTCTAGGAACTCAAATTCCATCGATCAAATAACGATCTCTAAGAGCATGTGTTTGGACATCCAGGACTTAAACAAATTCGTTTTGGTAGAAGTCCTCAAGTGTAAGATTGGTAGCTGTATCTGGTCTTTCATCGACTCTCCTTGACGGACGTCTGGGACGATGCCGCTGATATTCCCCAATAGCATCGACTCCATGGCGTTCTGAAAAAGCTATATAGCAGCATTGATTTGGTTGCTCAAGTTTCTTCGTCATCGTGGAGGTGGCGCAGTGTAGACATTGTTGCCTTAGCAGACTCGAGAGTATCAATTATGTTGATATGAGTGATATCAATGAGTTTGATTGGTCAATATTTTCGTTTTCATCACAACATTCCTCATGACCATCAGCTTATGCATGACAATAAATTCAAACGATCTTACGTACTCTTGCAAGAAGATTCTCCCCTTTGCTCTGGTCTTGGTGTTATCTGAATTTTCCACTTCTCAAGACCTTGGATTGTCTTGAAAACTCGACCAAACGGCTCTTATGGAATCTGCACGCGCTCCAACGCGTTGCAGACTCCAATACTCCGCTACCGTTTACTGACAAACGGGCATGGAATATTCCTTTCTTGACAAATTGTTGTTAAATTATCTGTGATTTCCCATATATATTTGATTGTTTTGAGAACGTCTTTCATTATCATTATGAGGCGCCTGTTTGGTTGCACTTGTTTGTGGATATTAATTATGCTTGAAGAGTTTGAATTATGTAAAGCGGTGTTATTGCCATGAGTATTGACATCATGGATGATTGAAGTTACAGAGTCATCTGCAATGTAAACAGCTAATTGGGGAGTTGTTTTTTCCTTTGTAGTTTCCCTTAATTGGGGAGTTGTTTTTCCTTTGTAGTTTGTAGTTCGCATCTGTAATGGTAAAATGTGTAAAGGACGACAGATCTAAACTTAGTTAATGACGATAGATCCAGATAACTGTCCCGTGCCAGCTAAGAGAAACAGCTTTTACCCTTACCTGCATAAAGGTTTTTTTAAAAAAGGGCCTAGATGTGACTTTTCTCATGCTCCTCCGCCTCCCCCTCGAAACGATCGAAAATAATAACAATCCTTTTCCCCCATCAATAAATCAAATAAATTTTTTAATGAACCAGCTCGATATGAGATTGCAGAAAATGGAAAGCATTCAGTCTCGACCAAATCTTCCTTATCCCGTAACTCCCCCCCTATCTAGCTTCTCGTCCCAACCAAACTCCCCGTTACCCAAGCCCTTCAATGGAGACTCTCTGGTACCTTCCAAAACACGGCAATGTCTCCAAGTAAATTATCATGGGGCAACCACACCCCCAAGAACCATGCCAAAATTGGGAAAACATTAGAGTTACCCAAGAATAAGATGAATTCTTGTAAAACGTTTCCACCAGTTTCTGACGAAAGAACAAAAGACATGCATGCAACCGATATCCCCGTTGGCTTGTCCTCTTATATTTAGTTCACTACATCCATAATACATCAATAGATGAGATTGATGAAATAAATGGAAACAATAGCTCCATTGACATGATTAACGTTCATTCCACGCCAGTAAATTCCAATATCGGCCCTCCTCTCCCTAAGACTATACGAGATCAAAAAGCTATTCCAACTATAATTTCAAACCGTGTCAAGTGAATAAACTGTAACACAGTACATAGAGCTAATTTAATTAAAGTACCTTTGGTGGATCTATGCGAAGGATCATCTTGGCCGAAGAACAATTTAATCGTCGGTTCCATTAAATCCCAATTTAGTGTTGATGTTTTTGTTCCTAAACTTTTACTCACAAACACTATGTCTCCAGCCCCAAGAATGGATGAAGTGAGTTGTTTTATTTTGATTTAGCTTGCATTGCGGAAACATGGCTGCATGGATCAATTAGTGACACTTGCCTTCATATTGCTGATTACAATTTTATTTATAAAAACCGATCCGTGGGTGCTCATGGAGGGGTCGGTGTATATGTCAAGAACTCAATTTTTCACAAACGTTTGGATCAATTCGAACTTTCAGACTTTGAAGTTCTTTGGGTCTACTCAGGCCCAAAAGACTCCCACGCGGCACTCCCTGTATAGTACTTGGTGTCGTTTGTACACTTACTTAACACCCATGATAGTGACATGCGTCATTTCTTATCTACATCACTAACATCAATTGAGAGCCTTCATCCCGGTTGCGGTTTATGGTACTGTCAGTTGTCTGAAAGTTGGACGTCTCTTAACTCAGTTTAAAACAAAAGTTATTCCGAATAAGGAGTGCATAATATTAACACACAATTTATTAAAACTGTATATTTCGAATCTAAATCAGATTCATCTTCAGCAGTGTTTTGCAAGATATGTCGTTATATTTACAAGCGTGAGCAATTTTAAACAAGCTAGCGTGCGCAAAAGTGCGTAAGCAATCAATAGCGTTTATTCGTGATGAAGCAGTTCACGTAGTCACAGAATAGGAAGTTATACCAGAAGCGTAACTCAAGCAAGTATTTGTCCGCGTTTTTACAAGCGATTCGTCATCAATCACGCCATCCTGGCTAGTACAACCGGCACTTTGTACCTACCAAATCCTGATATAAACTTCCGGCTGTACTAGCCAGGATGGCGTGGCCTGACGTGAGCGAGTTAAAAATTTTCGTGGACGTCAAACAATAAGGGAAACGACTAGAGTTACGCTTCTGGTATAACTTCCTATTCTGTGACGTAGTTCTTTCATTCAGCGCACGTTAATTAATTAAATAACTGTAGTTCTCTCACTTTTAGTCCATTATTAAGACTTGATTTACGTCTTTTAATGTGTAGCGCTTCTTTATATAGTAATAAATTCCAGTTTCTGGAAGAATCAATGATCTTAGTGTTTGAGAGTACAAGTTCTGTCAGTTGTGTGTTAGATTGTGATGTTAAGAATGTTTTGTCGTAGCAGCAGTCTAAGTGTCTGTACACAGCACTTTCCTTGTCTTTGTACGCATGTTCCTTTACCCGTTCTATAGAAGCGTTCGGTCAGTCTTGCCTATATAGCTGTTGTTGCATTTAGGGCAAGTAAATTGGTATGCAACGTTGGATTTGTTTTGTTTAGGTACTTTGTCTTTTGCGTTCGTAAACAAGTTTAGTTTAGTTGTTGATACTCTCGTCCTAATCTGCACGTTCGTAATGTTGAGACAACTTAATAGTTTCCTCTTGAGTGCACGTAAAAGTTGTTCGCCTTTCGTCCCAATGTATGGCATTTCTAGCCAAAGCGTCGGTCTAGTTTCGTTCGATTCTGTCGTGTTATTATCTTGGTCGTTTGTTGTGTTTTGGTTAAAGCGTTTTATGAGTGAAAAGACAACACGTTTAGGATACCCATTCCATGACGCAATTTTCTTAAGAAATTGGAATTCTTGGGCTAGTTTCGTGGGTGAACAGATTTTGTTAATGCGACCCAGAAGAGAGCGAATCCATGCAATGCGATGTTTCCACGGTACGAAACTGTCAAAGTGAGTGTATCGACCTGTAAAAGTATGTTTTCGGTATATGGAAAACTTGTTGCCATCTATAGGTTAAGATCTAGAAAGTGTGGTGGTTCGTCTGACAATACGTCATAGGTGAAACGTATATTACGGTCAAAAGAGTGGAATTCGTTCAGAAGGAAATCAATGTCGTCATGTTTGATTAGTAGTAGTGTGTCATCTACATATCGGCAATAGAATTTAATTATGCCGCTATTAATTAGAGGATTAATTACAATGCGCTCA